AAAAAAAAAAAAAAAAAAAAAAAAAAAAGTATGGAGTAAGCAATGGTACAGGTGGAATGCAGACAAGTACACGCATGGTAGTGTGCACAGAGGTTGTGCTTCTTCGAATAATTGTACTTTCTGTGCCTCTCACAGTCAGAAGTGAATGCCCAAACCACACTCTGAATAAAGTTCAGGTTGCAGAGAGGTATGGAATGTTTTCTCAAGAACTGAATATGAGACTTTCCTATGGAAACTCCTCTCACTCTCCAGAAGGGTGTCCTTGGTGAGCCAGAGGACCGGGTATCACTTCCCTGGGGCCTGAGTGTTTGACGGAAGCAGAACTGTTTGCTTCTGTAAGAGGCCCAAACAGAACAGTTGTTCCCCAGCCTCTTCCAAGGCGGACTTGTTGACTGGGAATTCAGCAAGGCAGTCAGTTTTAACAGCCCGCTTTTGGAGACAGACAATGATAGTGTGACACAAAGCTGTGATGACATTAAAGTATATTTAATAGCCACTCCAGCACGATGGTGACCAAACAAAATGGACTTGGGCAGAGGCCATAGCTCTGGAGTAGGCTCCTAGAAGTCCTTTGCAGTGTCAAAATAATTTATCCCTTATTTGTTGGATGGTGGGATGCTTCAGAGTGCCCTGGGGGTGGGAGTGGCAGGCTAGGTAGTCAAGGTGAAGGACTTCGGGGGCTTGAAACATGGGCTCCAAACTTCAAAATTTTAGCAGCAAGTGGATCAGGACACACTACCTGAATCTCAGTCTTGGAGCCATCCCCTCTGGCTTTGGAATTCGAGTGGCCTGGGCTCTGCAATTTTTTGCTTTATGATTCTGGACAAGGCAGTTAGCCTCTGAACATCAGCATTTTAAAAATTCTATGAAATGGAGACAATTATTCCTTCCTTGGGGGATAGTTGTGAGGATTAAAGAGGATGTGTGTGAAGCAGGTAGACAGTGCTGGACACGTTAGTAAATGCTTACTGATTGCTAAGCTATGCTATGAATCACTTTCTAAAATATTTCCATGAATTGTATTCAGTTGACTCTTTTGCTGAGGCATAAACTGAAGCAGGGCTTTGAGGCCATATTCTTGAGGTGTCAACAGCCCAAACTGAGCATCTAGGCGGCTAACCAATCGCATTGAAGACTGGGTTATCCAGACCTCCCTCCCTCCCTTCCTTCTTCTCTTTCCCCATCCCATCCTTTTGTCTTCCTTTAACCTTAACTGAGATTTATTTAACATAATTTTGTGCCATGTTCTAGGCTCCTTGCTGAAGGAGATACAAAACACAAATAAGGTACTTTTAGTATAATAGTTGCATGATCAAAATGAATTAGGTAATCACTGACACAACTCTAATTTACATATAGGACGTTTTAACCATGTGTACAATAACTAGGATACTTTCCATCAAAGGGGAGAGCTTGATTAAATTACACCTCTGTAAGTATAGGTTGATATATGAGTAGAAAAAATGATCTTGGAATCTTTTCAGATATGAAGGGATGGCTCTGCCCAGGACTATAATTTTACCTGTTTTCTATTCCTTGGTCCCTCCCTTTCCCCTGATGCTACTTCGTCTCTAAAAAAGGGATGCTTGAGAAGAGCCTAGAAATTAGGGAAATGCAACTTAAAAGTAAGTACATAAACAAGGCATTGCCATGGGCCTATTTAAGGAGCGGTGATGTTTTATCGTCATCACAGAGGTATCACCGATCTCTTGTCTGGCACATTTTAGGGGCACATGAGCCCTCGAATTTGTTCTTGCCATTTTGTTGCGACTGAAATCAGAGTAGGGATTTTGATTCTAGCCTAGATGTGGGACAACAGAGAGACTGAAAAACACAGTACATAACATGAGAAAGAATGGAGAGAAGACATCTAGATTATCTGAGGACATGTACCATCATTGCTTCCGTGAAGCTGGAGGAACAGAAGTAGAAATTATGGATGGTTAGTCCGTTTCTGGTACTTGTGACCCAACCATTATACCCCATATAGACATTGGTACCAGCAGTGGGATCCAAAGAACGGATTTTAGGGATACGAAGACTGTTTTGCTTTAGCCAGTTTAAATGGAGTTTTCTGCCACTAGGAACTGGAGCACACAAACACAGATCCAGAACCATAACAGCACCTGACCTGCCCTTCCACACACGACGTGCTTTGCTTTCCGTCCATTCTTCTTTTGATTTTTAAGACATACGTCACATTGTTTCTCATTCAAAATTTGCATCTCCTAGTCTAAACTTATTAGAGACACCAGAAGCAGAATTAAGTGGACCGTGCAGGATGTCATAATTTACTAGAAGAACTAACAAACACACTGATTGATTTTATCTTTGTTCTCTTAGATTCTGAGGTCAGGGTGATAATAACTTTTATTAAGCACTGCCTGTAAACAAACTACAGAAGTAGTAGAATGTATTTTAATGTACACCTCGAAGTATTCATCCATAGCTGGGGCCAGAAGTAAATAAAAATTACTGTGAGACCCTAATATATAGTTTATTTCAATGCTTACTATCTTATTACTAAGGCAAGATTCACAGTCAAACCAGCAGCAGTTGATCAGCCACACTTCTTCCTTCTTAAATGCCTTCTCAGATTAAATTCCAGAAAGTTGTAGAAACATAAGTTAACCTTGAAGCAAAGATAATTAATTTTTAAGGGTGGCTAAAGAATGTCGATCCTTTATCAAACACTGAGCCCTCTACTATTCGGTAACTACTGCTTTTTGCTGCTACTCTAGCTTCTGTTTCTCAGATACAGTTTCTTTCTTTGGAGTAACACAAGTTCTTATACTCATAAAATAAGAATCCAATTTAGTGGCCCTGCTATCTGTCAGGTGTTCTGTCTCCCTGTAAGAGCCATACACTTGATGATAATATTTGACTGTTCAACGAATACAGTTTGGCTTTTCCAAAGTTATCAAGCAACTAAATCAGAAGCATGGAAAAGATTAAAAAAATTACCGTAACTATTATAGGTATTTTTTATACTTTGCATTTCTATCTGTACCCTACTGGGTCTGCGTATTTTTCTCTAGACAATCAACTGGGTGTATTCTAACTATGTGTGGCTGGAACAGTGTTTTCTTTCCAGGAAACCTCTATGCCATCAAATATTCCTTTCAACTTCTGGCAGACTTTAGACTTAAAGTTTAGATTTTATATCTGCTTCTGGCTTAGAATTCTGACTTGACTGTCATCCAAGCAACAGCTGCCAGTACCTGCTGGGCTCTTATTAAGAACTCTTTAATTGGCAGCATTAAAGTCTATGGGTAGAAAACTGGAAGGCCAAAGGATCATCTTGCCTGTGGAGTGAACTATCACCTTTTAGACTGGACTCATTTCAGAGGCAAAATTCCCCAGAAGACTCCTGAGATGTTTTTCTGACTCCTGTGACCGGCAAACAAAGATTTGGGAGGTAAAGCATAGAGGGAAACATACCACAGAAGTGTTTAGGCTGGACATCACAGGGCTGTGGACAGCCATGCATTTGTTGGACGGCTGTTTGCAAGCTGACATCAGTAACAATACTTCTTTGGGATCCGTAGCAACCTTGACATCAGACAGCCCTTTTGCCCAAGCTGATGAACCCACCAACCACAAGAAAGAAAAGACTACAGTGACGATGAAGTCCTACAGAGACAAACAGAAAGATAAAACAGGAAGAGAAAAGTGAGTTCTAGAAACAAATTGATTCGTTTATACAACTCTTTGGTTTGCCTTTTGAAAAATTCCAAGACCCCATAGCATTGGAACCATGTTGAGAAATGAATAAAAGAAAGTTTTGTGGTACTGTATTTATATTTCTAGAAAACAGACTTATTAAAATCACAATAGTAATAATAACTTTTACTGAGCACTTATTATGTGAAGTATTATTCCAAGTTTACATGTATTAATTCATTTAATCCTAACAACAGCACTATGAACCAGTGAACTTGACTATTCTATACTGCTTTTCTTGTCTGCTTTAAGGAACATTCATGTTTTTATTTAAAACAAGTACCTTAAGTTAAAAAGATTGAGGTCCTGCTTAAGTTAAATATGACACAGTAGAAATGAATCACTTTCCATAAACAAACTTTATGGCTGAAGTCAGGATCTATGTCCTTGGAGTAAATATGTTATTTTGGGGAGCTAATGCAACCCTTTTCCCCCCAGTACCATTTTATACAGAGGGATGGTATACTGTACTAAGGTATCTCATATGAGTTAAAAGCTCAGTCTATCATCCATAGGCCTGGGGTTGAATCCTGACTTTGCTGCTTACTAGCTGTGACCTTAGGCACTTTGCTAAACTATTAATACTTGAAGCCTCAATTTAACCCTCTGTCAATTGGGATAATAACAGTATCTGTCTCACTGGATGGTGGTAAGGAGTGAAAATGTGTACGTTTGCCTCTTTTCCCCAGTAAGAGGTCAGCTCCATGAGGGCAGGGCCTTTGTCTCTTTTGCTTATTGTTGCGTATTGGCAGAAGAGGTGCCAGCAACATTTGTTGAGAAAATAAATGAAAGAATAAATGAGTATACAAAATGGTCCCAGTTGGGTTCTATAAATTTCTGTATAGGAGTTTACCAGGTGGTAATGGTAGGGTTAAAGATGACTTTTGTTTTATATAAACTTGTATATTTTAAAACATATTTTATAATTAGACCAAATAAAAACAGCATGGCAATGTGATCAAGGCACTGATTGATTATATCAATGGCTTGCCCAGACAGAACTTCAGGTGGCCCTATTTGTCCTTACAGCAGCACCAGGATTTATAATTAGACCAAATAATAAATGTCATTAGAATTGAGAGTTTTAGCATCAAAAGTTTCAGAAAGCAGCCTCAGGCCAAGTTTTCTATACCTGAGCAAAGTGTGACAATTTGGCAACTATGTCAAAATTCTAGCTAGAGTATAAATTAGCCTCAACCATTTTTTGGTCTTTTGCTAAGCCTAAGTTTGAAGTTACATTCAGGGAGAGATGTGGGAGCAAAGCCCTGACCCCACTTTCCTCCCATTCTTTAATCTACCAAACCAGGTTCATTTTGCCCCATGCTCAGCAAGCCAAAAGCCCGACAGGCCTAGGACTGCAGCAAAGAAAAGATTTTTTTCCGCGATAGAGCCAAGCGCAGGGATGGGAGAACAAATCTCACACGCACCCCCCAGAAGGCGAGGGGCTGGTGGGTGGTGGGGTATTTATGGGATGAGGAACAAAGCAGCAGGGCGGGCAGAGGCGTGCGGGGCGTGGGGAAAGGTGATTGGAAAAAGGTGCAGGAATCCTCATTCTGCGCAGGCGTCACGAGGCTACAGGCCTCTGCACGTGGCGTTTTCGACACGCTGACGCCAAAAGGTCACCTAGAGGACACTGGCGCATGCCCAGTTGAAGGGTTGTTGGTCCCATACTCTCTTGACCAGCTCATCTGGAACTAGACACAGCTGACTCCAAGTTCCTTCTGCCTGGAGGACAGGCAAGTCTTAAAACCACCTTGATTAAGGAAGGCAGGTGAAATGGATTTAACCCACGGTTTCCCTCCAATTGGCCAAACCCAATTGGAACCCCATGTGATCCATGCAAGTCACCTCTTGGACACAGAACATGGTGGACAGGGCAGAGCGTCCATCAAAAGCTGTCCCAAACTAGTGGCTGTCTTAGGAAACAGCTGCTGTCACATTAAATGTGCTATCACATTTAGAGTGCTTCCTATATGCTAGGCACTCTGCTAACCACTTACAGACATCATTAGCCTTACAGCAAGGTACTGAGGTTAGTCCTGCTTTTCTTAGGAGGAAACTGAAACACAGGTCAAATACTTTCCTTATAACTAGTGCCTGGCTTGACAACTGTGCCGTATCATGAGCTCACCCTCACCCTCAGTGTAGCTGGATTCACTTTGCTAAGTCAGCTTTCAGGAATACCAGAATGAAGCTGTGAATCAGGGAACACAGAAATCAAACAGCAAGATAGAAGCTCAGCTCACAGAAGAGCTTTGGATTTTTCAAAGAGAGTATCACTAAGCAGTGGCTGGATGGGATAACTTTCTGGGTCCACTCACAGATTTATTTCATTATTTCATTTGGAACACTAATAAAAGTGACACCTGACTTCTAGAGAATGTCTAGTTTTTAACACACTATGGCAGAAGATCATTGGATCTTCACAATAACTGCACGAGGGCGAAGACAATTACATCCATTTTACAGATTCAGGGAAGTTAAATGATGTGTCCGAGTTGTCATAAGTAACAGAGATTTGAATTCAGGACATTGGGCTCCATGTTTAATGAGTGGTTTTCCATTATGCCCAGGTGTTCTGAAATTTGGGCTACCTAATTGTGGAGACACAGACATAGCAATAAATAACACTGAGCTACAGAGGAAGAAATGCTTTCTCCTTCAGGATTCTCTTGTAATCTGAGTAGTAAAGGAGAAAGTCTCAGCTGGATGTTAATATGTCTCTAACACCTATTTAACAAATATTTAATACCTACCTATCAAAGAAAATTGGCCCCAGGCTCAGAGCCTTCAGGCAAACAATGGTACCTTGCTGGAATACAGTACTGTTTATTTTCTAATGATTCATTTCTATGTTTATCTTCTAATTATGTCAAATAATGCTGGATTTCTGTATCCAGGAGTGGTACAGGAGTTTCTTAAAAAATAAATTTTATTGAAGTTACCAAATAATTTAAAGAACAACAGTAAATAATTTCTGGCCCACATGACAGAAGCAGGGCAGAGAATGTCTGAGGTTTGGAAAGATCTGCATGGCCACATCCTGGGCTGGGAACACTGAGACTCTAACCCAGTGCTATCTCATAGGCATAGAATGGGAGCCAGAGATGTGAGTCACATATATAATTTTCAGTTTTATAGTAAACACATTAAAAAAAAAGCAAAAAGAGATTGGTGCAATTAATCATATTAATACATCATATGTATTCATATAATACAGTTCAATATATAAAAATATTATCATTTCATGCATTATAAAATTATAAATAAGACATTTTACTTTTTTTGGTATTAAGTCTTTAAAACCTGGTGTAATTTATACCTACAGCACACCTTAATTTGGTATTACCTACATTTCAAGTGTTCAACAGTCACATGTGCTATGGGACAGCATAACACCAATCCACAATTAACAAGTGGAAGCACTTGTTGAGGGTCCACTGAAAGTGATGCCCTTTGTCTTGTTTTGGGTCACTAATGTCACAATTTTTCTTAGTACTTGAGTCTGAGATGGCCCTGGTAGCCATCTCGCCTGTTGCATCTGTCCTGGCCTATAGGATTTCTTACATAGGTTGATAGGATGGCATAATCCATTGCCCCAGTGGTCTGGTGGAGGACTGAAGGCAGATCAATGACCAAAGGGAGGCTTGGGTTTTTGGTACTGGCAGCCAAGGGAAGAGATGGGCCCACAGAAACAGCTCCACTAAGTGGGAGCTACATTTCAGCCTAGATGTAGGGGAAAAGTCTGACTTGAGCTCTCTATTCTGACCACATGTGCCAGGATGGTGACTGGTGAAATGGGATGAAATATGGAGTCCCATTTTACAGATGGGATCAATTACTTAAACCCAGCATGAAAGACGCAGAGCCAGGATTCGGACCCAGGGAGTTCAGCTCCAGAATCTGTGTTTTTTTCCTATAATATTTATTGGAGGACAGTTGATTTACAATGCTGTGTTAGTTTCAGGTGTACAGCAAAGTGAATCAGTTACACATATACATATATCAGAATCTGTGTTCTTTTTTTTTTTTTTTTTTAGAGTCTGTGTTCTTAATCTATTATAAAAGCACTCTGTTGCTTTTAGAGGCCCATGATTTTATTGACTCATAATAAAAATTAAGTTGCAATATTCATACTTATGGCTATCATTTACAGAGCAGTTACCACGTACCAGACACTGTGTATTTCATGTATCGCTCATTTAAGTCTCATAATAACACTTTGAAGTGGCTATTGTTGACCCCGCTTTACAGATGAGAAAATCAATGTTCAGAAAGATCAAGTGAGTTGCCGGAGGTCTGAGAGTCACTAAGTTGCTGAGCTTTGTTTGCGACCAAGGTTTGCAGGGCTTCAAAGTCTGTGTCTCTCCTCAGAAGGTGAACGTAATTATATTCCAAACCAGCTTTGATGGGGGGCGCACCGTGTGTCAGGCCTGAGGTTGATGTGCTTTACACGTTTAGCCTCAGTTCAGCCTAACCACAACCCTATGGCGTAGCGTCAGTTTTTCTATTTTACCGATGAAGGAGGAGGGCTTAGAGAAGGTAAGTGATTAGAGGAATTGGGTACCAAACTCAGACCTGACTCCAAATCCCATTGATTCGTTCATTCGTCCATCATTTTACTTGTCCCTTTTCCCAATCATATGTTCAGTATTGATTATTTTCCCACTCTGGGCTGGGTACTGTTCTAAAAATGGAGGAGGGGCTGGCAAACACTGGCCAAAGAACTGTTCCCGGCCCTCAGGTGGTTTACATCTTTGCCCTTTCTGCACTGTCTGGGTTGTTTTATGTTATTACTGCCAGATACACTATCAGCTAATCAGGATCTTGCAGAAAGAAAGCTGCAGTGGATGGGGTGGTTCTGTTACAGGGGCTGAGTAATAATCAGTCATCTGGTTTCACATGTGAAG